TCATCATCTGTGTTCCTTCTTTTATGGTGTAATAATAAAATCTTTCTTGGTAACAGAAACTAGTTTACCAAGAACTACCTACATACAAAATACAAACTGAAAGGAAAAACAGAAAGCTGAAAACCAATGACCAACCAAATACATTATCAAAATTAGGTTCACCATTATCTAAAAAATGTTAAGCCCCTGCCATGTGTTGCACATTCCTATTTACTTGTTCCGCTTTTAAAGTATAAAATAGGCTTATATAAAACTACAAAATTAAGTATTTTAAAACCTGATCTTTTTTGGCTTTACAGAATACATTCTGAATGGACAGAATTCTTTCTGTAAGAACAGAAATATTTCTGTTCTGAAATATTTCTGTAGTACAGAATTAATTCTGTACTACAGAATAGTTAATAATAATTCTGTGTTACATAATTAATTCTGTTAACACATAATTTTTTCTGTACACAGAATAGTTTCACAGTAATAATTCTGTAACAATAGAATGTATATACTTAAAGACATAAATAGGAACGTCCCAAACGACGCCTCGTAGCTGCAAATGATTGCAGCACAGAATCTAATCCACTTTGTAGAATAGTATTTTCATTGAAATCAGTGTGGTTTTGAATTATATTCATGACACAATTCTCATATTCTGAGGTTGGAACATCGCTTAAAGTGGTAATATCTTCCTTTTTGCAGCAGAGCTCAATCACAGTACGTAAACATAGCTCATAATTATGACCCAAAGATTCATATGCAATGATTGATGCTCTACGGAATGGATCGTTCTTGCACAAATCAATTAACAAGTGGGTGTTTTCCTCGTCTGGTAAGTTATTACAGTACTGTTCAATATCACGATTTGGGTCATAGCGAGAGTTATCGCAGTTTGGGAGTTTACTGCTTAGTTTGCCACACACTTCAGTAAGTTCTTTAAAATTCAAGTCTAGGAATCTTAGATCATCGATAATACTATACCATCCATCCTGGGTTACATCTTCCTTGCGACCTATAAAGGTAAGGCAAATCCATTTTGTTCAAAAAAAAATGTAATAATAATTACATTATTGACTGAAATATTGTCCTCTTATGTCATATGATTTATTATTAGTCATATTCCAGTGCCATTTTGAGCTACTGTCAATTTGTTGCTGCGAACCCTTGTTACTACAGTTATTACACTAACTGTCCAAATAATAGGCCACTAAACTACCAAATACTTGATCAAACACTTCATAATTGGTAAAAATTGGTCTACTGTATATTGTATGATCATTCTTTCTCAATATTATATGCTGGGGCTGAATACAATTTACAATTACAATGTATAATTTAATATACACACATACATAATATGGTACTAGGGTTCAGGGTTAGGACTAACAAGGTAATAAAGGTATATAGCTAAAATCACAACACTTAAGCTACCAATTTCACCCAATCATTTTCCACACCTGTGCTAAGAAATATACGAAAATACCCCATAATGTGGCACCTGCCTGTACGAAAATATTTATGATTGAGCTCCTCAGGGTTAGTTTAAAGGTAGTTTTGTATTTTTGATTTAGATGTCTATTAACCATTACTTTTTTTATTAGATTATTTGACTAAATTACACAGTACTAATGGTTACATTGAATTTGGAAACAAAAAAAAAAACAAAAAACAAAAAACAAAACAAAAATAAACAAATAAATAAAACAAGGTCTTGATTATTTTCCTTTCATTTTAATAAGAAAATTAAATACATAAAGCATACTTGTCCAACTTACCATGAACTTTTAAGGCCAAATCTGGCCTTTTAATATTTGCTAGTGATATCTCTAGGATCTCTGAAATGAAGATTTTTTTTTAAATTGTAATATTTACTCTAATAAGAGCTGCAGATTTGTTAAAACTGATGCACTGATTTTTTTTTTCTTATTACAGTATTTTGTTTTATATACTAAATTTAATTTTAAAAAATAAAATAAATGAAAATAAATAAATTTATTTGTTGTCATTAGTTGTTTGAGGGCTAAGAAACACTTTAAAACAGAAAAAAACCATGTTTTATATTATGGCTCGAAGGCCAAAATGCAGATATCCTTTTTATACAAGAAATTAACTACTACCACACTTAAGATAAAGTAATACAATAAAAATACTAATGTAAATGACATTATTTCAAGTATAATGTAGTACGGTTAAATATTTAAGTTGATCAAGGACATTAAAAAAAGAAAACTGAATGACTTTTAAATGTGTATTTTATAACCTTTTAATTTTATATATTTTGCTGGGTTTTTATAGACTACAACAGATAGGACTATGACCCCATTAAAATTAAGTGGTCAGTTCCATTTTAAGTGCAATCCTCTTTCACATTTTGTACATTTTTATCTTATAAATTTTAATAATATTTAGTTCTTTAAAAAGCAATTTAAATGTCTAAATTATGTGCTTTATATACTGTTTTAATCATATTTCTAATTTTGCTATATTGTATTTCATGAACATATTTTTAGAGTGAAACTGAATAAATTCAAATCAAATCAATAATAAATACTTTTAAAATAAGATAAAAATATTACTGTTGGCCTACCTTTTGCTCTATCTACAGGTAGTAAGCATTGCTCCTCTAAATTTTGGGGAAAAAGCAATACTTAATATAATTGACATATATATATTACACAGTAAATAATAATTAAATTACAAGTGCAGGATTCAAATGCAATAGAAGCCAAATCGTTGTGCAGACTCTGATCGATCAATAACTGAATAAAGAGAGATTTTCAAAAAACAAACAAGAAACACCCTATAGATAGCTACGAATAGCTGATTTTACAGCAAATAACCTCTTGACTGCTTTTAACAGGTTATCAGTAGTGTGTGTGGTAAACAATTTTAGGCCTACTATACCTCATGAATATTAATTAGATAATAAAATTTAATTGGTAAATTGTCTTTTGAGTCTATGTATGGAGAAATCATTGTTTTTTTAAATTACTCTCACAAAAAACACTTATAAAAATATAATAAAAACTACATGACACTAGTAGATTTTATGAAATTTATAAATTGTGATATTATAAGACTAAAAATTTACTTGATATACAGCTACTCTGCCCAACCATGACAGAAGGAAGCAATGATGTTTGTTGCTTTGAGTAATTAAGGAATATGGAGCATGTTGATTTTGTCCCCTGCTTTCTTTTCTGGTGGTTTTTACTGTATTTTGAGTCTCTTACTTCCTTTTTGTGTTGCTAATTACTTGTTAGTTAGTGGAATTTGAACTCTATATTAATATGTTCCAAACAAGTGACTAAAAAAACTTGTTTTTGAAAAATGGTCAATTATTTCCTTTTGTCATGGTGCGGCAGCACTATTGTCAGGGGTGGATCCAGAGATGTCCAAAAGGGGGGGCCGAAAGGGGGGCCAAAATTTCGAGACAACAATGTTTTAGGGGGTCCGAGGGCATGCCCCCGCAAAATTTATGTGTTCTAGACGCCCGAAAATAACATTTGAGACGTTCTGGGATATCATTTTTTTCTTTTTCTTACTTTTTTTTCTTTCTTTTTTTTTTACCTCCCAAAAGGGGGAGGGGGTGGCCCCAATTGTAAACTTTTGCATGTGCTCATCAAGAGTATTGTTTGGTCCCAATGATTTTAATTTTGTTGAAGAGAACAGTATTTAACCAACGTTTAAAATAAAGAAGATCATATTTAAGAGGCTGTAATCAGGAAAAGCATATTCAATTGTAGGTTGGATATGGGATAAATAGAGTAGGGAGAAATATTCAAGGGAGTGTTTTAGGGAATTCCTGATTTTGATTTCTGTTGAGGAAAAAGCATCCAAAAATGTTTCTAATCTTTGGAAAAAAACAAAAAAAGACAATTAATTACTGGCAATATATTATATAGTATGGTAAAATACTAAAGTCAATCATTATTCATAGTATCTATGTTAAAAAAAAAAACATACATTAACAGATATCCTGTAAATAACAGAAAACTGGGACATTAAAAAAAAATACAATGCAGTAGTTTATTTATTTAATAACAACCAAAAGGTTAATGTTGCCCTATCTGAAGACAAAGGGTATTGCTCCTCACTACTGTCATTTTGTCTGTTCTCTATTTAGAACAAAATAAAGATACTCATAATACAGTGACAGTATAGTATATTGTAGTATGGAAAATGCAAGGACAGCCTGGACATTAGACAGACATTTGGGACATATTCAAAAAGAAATAGGATAAATAGTTTATATTTTAATGTTGCCCTACCTGTAGATAAAGGGGATTGCTCCTCTCTACCGTCATTTTTTCTGTTCTCTATTTTGAAAAAAATAAAGATGTTCATAATAATAGTAACATAATGTATAAAGTACAGTAGTATGGTAAATGCAAAGGCAGCCTGTTTGTGGCAGACATCGGTGGATGACAAAACTGGGAAAATTTCAAAGAGAAACAGGATAAATAGTCTACAACCAAAGAAGATAAAAAGTTAAAGTCTTTTTCCATAAAAAAGCCATCCCTAGATCTCCAGGGTTTTTGTTTTGGTCGGGCAAGAGCCAGCACAATTTCTTTTTGCTTTTTTTGGCCTTATCTTTATCATTCCTTTACTATCAATATACTAAAATTATTTTCATATTTTTACATATATGTAAAATATTTTATCCCATTGATATTTTATTCCATTTAATTGTTAAACAATCAAAATAGAAGTTCAGTTTTTAGTCTGTAATTATATACTTTATTCGTTTTTTTATTACATGTTTATATATTTAAATAATAATAATATCTTGAATTTATATGCCGCCAATTCCAAACAAGATCAAAATGCATGTGGAATAGCCACCGGAAAACGAATAGGTTTTAAGTGTGACTTGTAGTTGCAAAGAGCATTAGAAGAAATTATGTTATTTGGATTGAAATCTGGTATCAAAACATACATTTTTATATTAATCCACTCAATTAATAAACCTAGCCTTCATAATGCTTCACATAAATAAGAAAATTTGGTACATATGAAGAACTTTAAATCCTGGTAAGAAACTCTAAAAGACTATAATTGATATATCTTACCACAACAACAGGGAAAGTAATTAGTCCAAAATTCCTGGGATTCCTTAGTCCACCAACAAAACACTTTTGTAGCAAAGCCAATAATACAAACAATTATAATAACTAAAAAAAAGAAACAAAAATACCTATCAAATAACACAAAGTTGGTCTTTATTTTATTAATTTTTAAGAATGATCATTGGAAATACATATAGATCAAGAATGTACTCATCTTGCAGTGACCAGGGCCCCTCTGGGAACCTTCTAGATAGGGACCTGGGGTGGTATAGAGCCCCTGCGGGATACAGGGCTAAATATAGAATAAAAATATAATATTTATTTAATACTTTAATTTCATACTATTAATGTCCATATAAAATTAAAAACAAGACAAAAAAGAATACAGATCAACAATCTTATACTGTGTACCTCTTTAAAAAGATTCAAGGACATGTAGAGCAGATCTGTCCACCAACAATTCAATTTGGAAAAACTCAACACATGAGATTCTTGAAAATTTGAAAAAAGCGAGAGTGCCATCTTACAAACATAGCACCGGCGCTACAATATCTTGTCACTTTAACTACATTCTGAACAAGTTATACTGTAGCAGACTTGCAGGGATCTTAGGTTCATTTCATTATAATTATCCCTAAGGGAAGACAGGGCCGGAAACGCACCGGTTGCACTGGACCACTTTTTCTCAATTATAATATTACTTTTCTAAATAAATATATATGGATACCCATAATTATATGAATTTATTATTAATGTTCACATCACATTGTCGTTATATACCGTAAAACCGCGAATAGAAGCCCGACGGGCTTAATATGGAAAAAAAGCCCAACTGAAATTGAAGCCACTTCTTTAGTTTGCAAAAGCAGCCTCGAAAAAAAGGCCAATCTCATTCTTTTCGAGATAGTACAGTGCGGTAACAGTTTGGAGTTATGCACTGGTAGGAGTAAGACGTACAGAAAACTAGCCCCTGAAACGCATTGTGAAATATATGTTTTACAAATAAAATCTGGATCACCGTATAGCATGTCGACAACCAGACAAACTACACGGTAATACAGTAGCTAATAAACCACCTGTGGTAACCAGTCATTTGTCCTTTGAATCTTTCATGAAAAAGAAACTTGAGTCTATTTTAAATGGATAAGAGACAAATAAAGCCAAACTTTGTGAAGCCATTGCATTTAATTTCCCCCGCCCCACCAAAAAATGAAAAGAATATGGCTGAGGTAATTAATGGCTTAAAATCGTCAGTTGTTAATTTATTAACTACCACCGCTGATCTACAGACTAAACTAAACAAGTCAGAACGTTTCTCGCGGCGAAACAACATCCGGACGGTTGGTGTGGACGAGAGCCCAAGGGAAAATTATAAAGTAAACAATAAAAAGATTAATAAAATACTTTGATGTATTGAGATAGTAATAAAAATAAGAATTCTCTTTCATCCAACCAGTCAGGTAATTTGCTTTCCTGAATAATAGGGCATCATTTTTTATCAAATACTATTTTTTATACAATATTATGAATCATGATTATAAACTATTTTTTAATGCTTATCACAAGCATGCGTTTACTACACACACTATTTTTAAATGATGACCTGATAGAACGTTCATACACAACAGCTATACACTGGCATTGTTAGATCTTATTCAATGAAATACACACATTTAAACTTGCTTGTTTAATATCTCCGCCAAGAGATATATGTGTTCAGTTGTGTAAAGTTGGTGGGTGTTTGTGTGTCACGTTTTGGTGTTTTCATGTGAGTGTGTTTTGTTCAAAATATCTCAAAATGGGCTCCACAGACCTAAATGAAAGTTACAGGGAGTTTTAGGTATGACCCAAGGATGGGGTGATTACTTTTTGGTGACGACCCGGAGTAGGGTGTGGATATGAGGACCATTTAAAGGAAAACGTCTTAGACTAGATATTTCAGAAACTATCAACTGATCTGAATGAATATTTCATGAACGTTTAACCAAGTTACAAGGAAGAAATTATTAAGTGTTGGAGACAATCCAAATTCAGGTGTGAATTTGAGGGTCATTTAAAGTGCTAAGGTCGTGTATGTGTGTGTGTTGTATTCAAAATATCTCAAAAATGGCTGCAGAGATCTAAATGGGAGTTACATGGAATGTTAGGTATGACCCAAGGATGAGGTGATTAAATGTTGGTGATGACCTGGAGTAGGGTGTGGATATCCAGAAGCATGGTTTCAGTTTTCTAATATTAATTACTTAATTAGTGAAATAATTATGCAAATGAGCAATTAGCATATTCACACACATACCAAAAACAATAGGCTCCATCTTATTCTATCAATTGCATTCTGCCAAGTTTGAAACAATGGGACTTACCAACCTTTAGTTATCGTAGTAACAAACAAATGACTAACAACGACAGCAACAGTGACAAAGACAGCATGAAAAGAAGAAAAAGTAAAAACAATAGCCTACCCCCTCCTCCTTTGGGTAGGCTAATATAAAATGTCAGATACAAAAATAGAAACTATTAGCAATATGAACTTTTAAGATACCTATAGCAGCAACAACAAGAATTACAACCACAGGTTTTTTATTGTTCTTGGGATTGCCATCTGGTACTGTTGTAGTCAAGACAGTTGATGTTGTTATCACAGTGCTGCCATTACTACTGGCTGTAATAAAAAAAATATATAAAAGGTATGTTATATAATATGTACTTTATATATTGGAATTTAGATTATCATGTTTAATTAACATTTAAAAAAAAATAGATTTGCAGACGGTAAAAAAATGCAGAGTTTCAACACAACCTCATGAAGAATACTGTTCAAATCAATATCAAAACAATATTCTTTTCTTTGTACTACTGCAATGTTGTTGACATAAACATTCAATTGGAGTGCACCTGCTGCTTCTAGAAGCAATGAACAGACTTACCACAAACAGTGTTGTTTTCCTTTGAACAGGGCTCCAGCACTTTTTCATCATTCTCACATTTGTCACAAATTTTACAGTTATCATCCCTTCCACCTTTAGAATAACTTTCAGCTGTTGATATAAAATACACATAAATTAGTATGAAACTACTTACATGTACAGTTTCATTGCAGAACATACTGTACCATTGAAAGTCTTATATGGACTTTTTAGAAAAGAAAAGTCTTGTGGTAACAACTGTGTGAGAGCAGTATAGAAAGTTTGATGCAAATACAATCACTGAGCATATGTTTCAGGTGAACCATAGAGGTTGCCAGAGAGTATTTATACTCTCATAACAATTATGTCAAATTCTGATGGGGAGGGGTAAAACAGGGGTTTAAGTCCCCCTCCCACTGGGCAGGTCAAGTCCCCCCCCCATCAGACAGAGCTTGTCAGGCAGTTGGACTAAAAAAAATATAAAAATAAGCCCATGCCAAGCCAACACATGTCTGTCACAGTCTGAGAGTGTCAATTCTGGCTATCCAGAGGTTCCTTAAAAAAATCTCATTTTGGGAGTGGGAACACTCTCTCAAACCCCCCAGCTCGGGCCTACGACCTCAAGTCCCCTGTCAGACAGTTCACTCACCCCCCACTTATTAATGCTCACTTGTTGAGCTCCTTTGTTGGTCTGAGGTTTAATTCCTCCAGGAGGCAATCTTGAGAATTGAACTTTGACCAATTACATTCTGCAAACATTTAATTTTCATTTCATTTATTTATTCAGACAAGTGTCTTGGGGCCCCAAAAGCAACAAAATCACCATGACATAAGTCTGGAGCCCCAAATTCTGAGATAGAAACGGGTGAGGCTGGAAAGTAAGGTTTCTTTTCACATTGCAAAATTTAAATGTAGAGATAAACTGTATTTTAATGTCAAGGGTTGTTTTGACCATGTAACCAAACATTCTTAATACTGCGCTCATATAAGATAGGCAAAAATGAACATATTGAGCAAAGTGCACTCCGCAGGGTTGGGCGATTTCATTATTAAAAAAAAGATATATAAAAATGCACTTTTTTAAAAGATCAATCATTAGTAAACACTATTAAAAACAAATTCCCAACCTTATGTTACGACAAACACAAGGATTATTACCCAGCAGACGCAAAATATTCGAAAACGCAGTTAGGTATGTAACAAAATTTATCAGGTAATACTTTCTGAGAAACCTGGCATTTTGATATGCTGTATTATGACACATTACAAGAGTGTATCGCAGGTACATTATTGTTGCTATTATTGAAATCAAATGTTTTTATTAAGACTTGTTTTCTTGAATTCAAGTAAATTTTTATTTTAATGACCTTAAATTGACATTTTAATCGACGTGTAATTATCGAGTTCATAATTTTTAAATATTTTCATAAAGTTTGTTAAAGAAAAACTTTTCAACTGTGTTGAGGCACATTTGGCAAAATTTTGGCTTATGTTGAATTTGTAATAAATAAATGTCAAAAGATTAACAATGAGATATTATGTGATGATTATATCATGATTGCTTCTTTTCTCCGATTGCTATTTCAGGGATTTCTTGTTAAAGCTACCTTTGTAATTTAATTGACACCACATTAATTCATCAAATGTTTACTACGTAACACAAATTGGTAAGTTTCAGGTTGCTACAATACAAACCTAGTTGAGCTATTGTATAAATCTCAAGAATTATTTCCACTCACCAACACATTCCTCACAAAATTCACTTTCTGTACAACTACTGCCAACTTCGCAACAAGACTCATTTACTTGGTAACCAGGGAAACATCCAGTTGTACATATACTGTTGCTAACTTGTCTCTTCTATTGAAAGAAAAACAATTTAGATAAAATCATTTTACCAATATATAAATAAACAAAAACTAAACATGACCAATCACTGGAGATAGGTTCTTGAAAACTCAAGATGGGCCCTACTGTCCACATTGTGCTATAACTGCCATTCAATGTATGAATTCATCACAAAAAAAAAATATTTTCAATTCCCCTTTGACTTTTTTATTTTGTATTATCAAACTCTACCTCTTCATAGTTAGACTAACTTTGAAAGCACACATCTTGAGGAATGCTTTTTTTTCATGAACAGACAAAATCTCTTGGTGAATTCTCAAATGTGCGTACTGTGTTTTAAGCGATGAGATTGGCTAGATAAGACCTAGCTGGGTTACAGCTGGCAGAAAAATTAGGTTGCCTATTACACCTAAGGACAGTGCTGTACGATAAGGATATAAATTGGAGGTCCAGTGTACACATCTGGCTTGTGTGTGCACTTCAAAATCCCATTGCATCTTTCGTAGAGTAGCCTACTCTACGAAAGATGCAATGGGATTTTGAAGTACGCACATTTGAGATTTCACCGAGAGATTTTGTCTGTTCATGAAAAAAAAGCATTCCTCAAGATGTGTGCTTTCAAAGTAGTGTTACCCCGATGCTATGTTAATTTCAGCCTGTCGTTTTGGAAAGATGTAAACATGCAGCTACTGTAAGTGCCTCTTTATATAATATGGCAGCTAAGTAGTCACGGAATGTGCCCATAAGCAATTCAGCACAGTGATGCTCGAAAGTTCTTCTATCCTACCATTAACCTTTAAAATATTTACAGTACTATATTTTATCACAGACCTATGATTTTATGATGCTTTCTAGATGACCACAGTACATCCAAGAATTTGAATTTAGTTTCATCCACTCAGGTAAAAAGTGGTTCCCACTCAGGTAAAAAGTGGTTCTAAGTCTTCTGGAGGTGGTCTCCCGGAAATCGCACTTCCGCATGACAGCAAAAATCTCCCGAAACTAACCCATCTGCCCCAAATTAATTATAATTACATTTTTTAACTATTATAATTTTAATTTTTCAGGCGGTGATGGGCATCATTATATAATGATTTTTCCTTTGTTGCACCTGCACATATAACACATATATGCAGTAAAATAAAGTTAGAGAGATAGATTAATCAGATGTCCCGGCTTCCTCCAACTTTGGACACCTGAGTTGAATACATTACAATCCCCCATTATTATTGTACCAGATTTATGACTGAACACACAAAGTACCATGACTCGGCACTGGTTCAATAGGTTGCCTATTGGCAACATTTTTAGCATTCTACTTCCATTATGCCCTTTTCAATAACAATTTATTTGAATTCTGCATGGTATGATACAACAAATGAATTCAACAAAAGGCTTCACAACGTTTTATAAAAAGACATTCTGAATCAACATACCTTGTGCATAGTGGTTAGACATTTTACTGGCTTTAGCCCACCATTAAGTGAAAGGCCAACACAAAATTGCGCATTTTCAATATACAGAGTTTTGCAGTTCGACACCAACACCATAGACGCATTATGCAATTTCCATCAAAATGTGAATGCGTTTGAAATGGACTACTTCCAAAAACCATAAATTTTGCTATCAAGATATCAAAATTTTACATTATATTTACATTAAAGCTAAAGCATTAAATAATTCAAATGTTTTTTTATTTTTTTAATTGACCTACAGTAGTAATTAACATTGTGTGTGTGAAAATACACAAATAAACACAACATGACTTGTTTACACACAGTGAGATTTGTTGTCTATTCATATAAAACTGATTTGTCAGGCACAGACTGTTTTGTAGTTTATTTATGTTCCTGGACGCACCCTACAACCATCTGATAATTTCTTGTTCTTCGTTCCCTGCACATCCGTAAAAACTATTGGCCATAAATCTTTTTGCTTTGTTGCACCTACACTTTGGAATTCACTCAATGCACACATTAAAAACAGTTCTTCTGTTACTTCATTTTAAAAATGACTTAAAACTCAACCTTTTCCATCATTAACGTGCACACCCTTACGAAAATGTCCTATAGGAATC